GACCAGGAAGAAAGACCTGGTGATCTATTTCTGAACATCAGACAGGGAGCTCTGGAGGTCACAGCAGCCTGACCTGCGGCGGACTGGGGCACGGTGCAGGGCCCGCAGGGTTTGCTCCATCGTGTGTGGGGTTGCCCGCAGTCAGGCCCAACGGCACAGCGGCCGACAGAACACGAGACCTACAACTCAATGGGTATATTGTGGGAGCAAAGGCAACTTCCTTAGCACAAATTCTGCTGATTTCAAGCTTTTAGTCAAGTGGTGGTGACAGTAAAGGTTTTGCAGGGCAATTAGTAATGTGAAATCAGGGGCTCCAAACATACGCTCCTCTGCCAGGGTGGGCTTGGGGAGGGGTGCACGGTGGCCTGGAGGGTGGGTGGAAAGCATGCAGGGTGACATTCGGGGCTCGCTCACCCCCTAGCCCAGTGTGACCCCCAGAGTGACAGATGCACTGTGTGGGTCTCTGTGAGGTCTCACGCCAGGCAGGCCGAGGTTAGAACAAAGACATGGGCTGCTCTTTGGGCTCTTGTCTCCTGAACTTCACCCCTTCATGACCCTCCAGGTATTAGGAAAGCCAAGGAGAGGAAGGTGGATTTTTCCCTAAAGACCAGATTCAGCAGTCCGCGTGTTGTTTTTGCTGGATGCCGTGTGGCCGATTTTCGACTCAAAACACCCCCTGTGACAAAGGAGGGCTGCCCCGCGGGGTTCCTCAAGGGAGCACACTGCCAGGTCTTTCTTCTGCACAGCCCTGGGGTGGATTTGAACCACCAACCTCTTTGTTAGCAGCGAGTTCCTAACTACTGTGCCGTCAGGGCTCCTGAAGCTTGCTGTGTCCCCAGGAAAAGGCAGGCCAGGAAGTGCACCTGAACTGCACGGAGGAAGGGGCAGGTGCACTGGGGAATGCCAGTCTCTCCTCATCACCGGGAAAGCACCACGCCCCCGCGCCAGCGGCCCCACGTGCGGTTTCTATCCGTGGTGTCCTGCGTGTGTGTGCTCACGTGTGTTTCTGAACCCCAGCCTCAGCTCTGGGCTGCTGACTAACAGACTTGTCTTGTTTTTTTTTCCTTAATCACTGTTGTGTTTTCTGTTACTTGCAGCCGAATGCATTCCTAGTTGACACGGGTAGTACGTGCACTCTGCCTTTTAAATTGTGGAAACGGCCCTGGTTTCATTCTGAAGAGGTGCAGCAGGAAGGGATCTGGCAGTGGTAGAGAACATGAGTGTGCACTGGGTACACGTGTGTGTGCACCTGTGTTGGGAGGGAGTCTGGCTTGTGGGTGAAGAGGGGATGACTGTAACAACAAGGGGTGTGTAGGAAAGAGCGTAGTAACATTAAAAGTAAACCAAAGGTCAGGGAAATACCCCCAGCAAATACGGACGAGGGGTTGGATTGATGCTGTGTGAAAAAGTCCCACAAAACAGAAAATAAAGATGCAAAGAGATGGGGCGGTGTTGCCCAAGGATTCTAATAGAGACCTCCAGATAAAAGGAGACCTCATCTGGGCCATGAAGAAGGAGGTGAGAATTAGGGCTGGGCACGATTTCATTGGTAAGTTACATACAAGAATTCATTACTGCAATGTGTGTTGTTGGAGAGGTTGTGGAGCACATCTGTTGTCGGGCGAATAGGCATCCTTTTAGAGAACAAATTGAAAGCACCCTTCAAGACAATTTTATGTTCTTGTTCCAGCAATCCTGCTCCTAAGAGTTTATCCTAAGGATAGGACACTAAATAAGGAAAATGCCGTATGTATGCTAATAGAGACGTTAATTAGAACATTGTTTATGACAATGGGAGTGTAAACTACCACTTTCCTTTGGTAGGCACTCAGTTTAAGTAGTGTATGGTTACTCACCTTAATAGGCGAATCTGAATTAAGAAGACTTTATAGCAACATTTTTCGCTATATTAACTTACAGGAGCAGAACACATAGTTATCTCTATGCCGTGGGTATGAGGAGGTGAAATTTACACACGCAGATGGACATGCTTGGAACAAAATGGAGAAACGGAGAAAGCGCAGTGTTGGGATGGCGGTGTGGGGATTACGTCTTCTCTTATGAATTTTCTGCACTCTGCTACTTGCTGCTTATGAACACAGACACACAGCATATATAGTGTGTGTGGATGTGTGTGCACACGTGAGTGCACGCATGTGTGCTCCTATACACACATCCATATTAAGAGTCCCTGGGTGGCCCAGATGGTCAAGCACTTGACTACTAGCCAAAAGGCTGCAGGTTTGAACCCACTCAGAGGTGACTCAGAGGAAAGGCCTCGTGACTCGTTTCTGAAAGCTCGTGGCCTTGAGAGCTCTGAGGGGCAGAGTTCTAACCTGCACACATGGGGGGTGCCATGAGTGGGAATCAACTAGATGGTAACTAACGACGGAAATCACCTATTCATGTAACTAGACATGTGCACACATGCATGTAGCCACACACACATAGCCACACACATAACCACACACATGCATAACTATACACATGTAACCACATGCATACACACATACATACAGCCACACACATATCATACACATACAACCACACACACATACATGCAAATGCATACACATGTATAACCACCCACATACACATACATGTGACCACAGATACATACATGAATCAGATCATCTAAGTGCATATCTTTTGCCTTTTCCAAGCCATTTGCTCCTCTATCCCCAGGAACCACCCACCCTTACGCCATGTCACCAGCCCACATGATGGCGTTTAGTCTGAAATGAAGCGGTCGCATCTGGTTACCTAGGAGCACCCCGGTAGGCAGCTGGGCTGAGGGGTCCTTCATCCAGTCGTCATTGGAGAGTTCTATAATGGCGTCCACATGTTTGACTTCAGAGCTGATCAAGTCCACCACCTGGTCCTCATCCCTGGTGTCCAGGGCCGACTTTAATCTCTTCACTAAGTCCGAGTGGAGCGGGTAGTCGGGGAGGTAGTCGGGGAGGTAATCCGAGTCGGACATTGTCACGGCGACTACGCACCGACCAATGCTTCTGTTAACTGAGTCCAAAGCTGGTGGCTCTCCTGTGGGGACGTGGGTGTGTGTGCTATAAATAGAAGAACGCTGGCCCTGTCGCAGGGAGCGGTGAGCAATCCTTCCAATGGCGGCAGTTAAGGGCGAGTCAGGAGACAGGCCAGGGGCAGGGTGGTGAGTGTGGGAGGGAGAGAGGACACCATTTTAAAAGCAAACTGTCACAGGCACTGTTGCACTGTGTCTTTCATCCAAAGTGAGAGTGTACCCTGAAACTTTGCTGCCCTTTGTGGGTGCCTGGGCTGGAGCCTGTGTTCTGTTGAAGGGAACTTTCTGTGAAGTCCCACAGCACACGCACCTCCATTTCATCTGAAACCAGAGTCTGGTCACCTAGAAATCGGACAAACTTTGAGCTGAGCAGGCCTGCAGAATGGAATGGAATCTTGGCTTTCCAAATTGAGAGACAGAATGTGTGGCCTGAAGAAGACAAAAGCATCAAACAAAGGAACAAAAATGTAACCGACATATCAGCCGGGAGCCTCCCCACGCCTCGGGGCTGGCAGATGGGCAATTACAGCTCCCTGCAAGCGTTCTTCCTGCACAGTCCTGTGGTGGGGCAGGCCCTTTCCCCACGGTCACCCCTGCCTCCAGGGCTGCATTCAAGCATTGTCCCTGGGTCCCCTGACACCCACCCGTGCCTCCACACCCACTCTGAGTATTTTGCAACCATCTGAAGGTGCAGGTGTGGGGTGTCGATTTCACCACCTCCTCCCTCCTGCACCACGATCTTACCACTTTGCTCTTTCTCACTCTCTTTCCCCTCTTCCTCTCAGCTCCTGGGAGCACTGGCAGGTTCTGTTCCACATACATGCACTTCCCAGCATGCTCTGCTCTGCTTTTACAGCCCTGGGGTTGGGTGGCGGACGCAGCAGTGTCCTGGTTACCTGGCACTGCTACAAGCAATGCCACAGTAGGTTGCTTTACAAACAAGTTTATTTTCTCACAGTTTATAGGCACTCTGGGGGCTTAGTGCCTAAGGCACTTGACTGCTAACCAGAAGCCTGGTGGTTCAAACCCACCAGCCACTCCTCGGAAGGAAGGTTGGGCAATCTGCTTCTGTAGTGATACTGTCTCGGAAACCCAAGCAGGGGTCCCTATGAGTTGGGTCCGACTCGACGGCACTGAGTCAGGAGGCTGGAAGTCTGAAATCAGGGTGCCCGTCCCAGGGGAGGGCTTTCTCTCTGTGGGCTCTGGACGGAGGTCTTTGTGTCTTCAGCGTCTGTCCCTTGGTTCCTTGGTGACCTTCATGTGGCACCTCTCTTCCTTGTTCCCTGCGTCTTTGTTTCCTTGCTCTATCTGCTCCTTTCATATCTCAAAAGAGGTTAACTCAAGACACCCCCTCTGCTATTACTGTGTCTTTACCATAGCAAAGACATCCAGTCCCAAATAGGATTATAACCACAGGAAGCACTCACTGCCATTGAGTCGATTCCAACTCATGGCGACCCCCTCTGGGTTTCCGTGGCAGTAAATCTTTACAGAAGTAGATCTCCCCATCTTCCTTCTGTGGAGCTGCTGGTGGGTTTGCACTGCCAACCTTCTGGTTGGCAGTCAAATGCCTTAGGCACCATGCCACCAGAGCTCCTAACCACAGGAGTAGGGATCAGGACTTACAACATTTTGTGGAGACACAGTTCAATCCATAACAGGTGGTTATTGCCAATGCCCACTTCCTCTCCCCCCAACCTAACAGAGTCTGGTGATGAATCACGCTGACTTAAGTCAGTCAAATTGGTCCTAGTCTCCTTTGCTAGATACTTTATGTCCTGGCTGCCCTTGCAGCCATGTGAGGTCATGCCTCCATTCTGGCCAATGAGTGTGGAAGAGGTCGCTCCTGATGCTTCTGGGAAGTCTTCTGCTTTCCTGATTGAAGGGGATACAGTGGCTGGCACCTCCGTTTACGTTCCTTCTTTCACGGAACACGCATGTGCTGTCTGGAGGTGAGGCAGCCATGTTGCAGTCATGAGGTGGCCTGAGACGGGCATCAGCAGACTCAGCGGAGTGGAACAGAAAGAGGGCGACGGACCGGCCGTTGGACAACACGTGTGAACTGCAGCTCTAGAGCTGGGCCGCCAACCACTGCACTTCTTGTCTAATTCTGTAAGCGCCATGCTGTGCACTACTTGTCGCTGAAGGCACGCCCAGGCAGCGTGTCATGGAACGGTCCTGGCTTCAGTCTGAAGAGACACAGCAGAAACGGCTCAGCCAGTGATGAAGGGCTTGCATTCACCTCCCTAAGCCTCTGTCCTGGGAGAATGCAAGCTCCCTGCCTTCCACCACAACGTTCCAATGGATGCTGCAAAGACCACAGCCTTGAATGGAGGAACAGTGGGACCCAGGGCAGGGCCAATCTACAAGCAAGCAGCTATGGCTGAGTGTCTGCCATTCAGGACCCCAGAGAGTGAAAAGTGGGCCCTGGCGGGGACCTTCTTAGAATCCCTGGCAATGGCTTGGCCTAGACCCCTCTAAATCCATTGCCATCTAGTTGAGTCCAACTCATAGCAACCCTGAAGGACTGAGTAGAACTGCCCCATAGGGTTTCCAAGGCCGTCAATCTTTACGGAAGCAAAGTCCAAACTAAACATACTCTCCTGGAGTTGATTTCAACTCACAGGAGGCGAAGTGTGACTAGAGGGCAGAGTGGGACTGCCCCTAGGGGTTTCCAAGGCTGTCAATCTTTATGGAAGCAGGCTGCCTCATCGCTCTCCCTTGAGGTGGCTGGGGGGTTCGAACCACCAACCTTTTCATTACCAGCCCAATGCTGTAAGCACCGCACCACCAGAGTTCCTCTCCTGTCCTGCCCAGACAGGAGAGGTGAATTTGGGGAGTCTCCACCATCACCTTGCATGTTTGCTCACATTACAGAGTGATTGGCCTTGGGTTCTTGCTTGGGCCAAAGAATTATGGGCTAGAAAAAGATTTCTGAGCTTGGATTTTGAAGCACCCGTGCTCTGCAGTGTCAAATGCCCCACACTCCTGCGAACACCCGAGAGGGGGGGTCGAGAGCGCAGGGAAATGATCAGGCTTGGGGTAAAGTGGTTGAGAAAAATGAAATGAGAATTATTAGCGACTGCTGCTGAACTTCAAGTCGAAGGCAGGTAAAGATGAAGCCCTTGTTAGACAGATAATGAGATGACAAAGCCTGGAGTGAGGCACCCACCGGTCTTAATTACCACGCGATCGGCTGGGTGTTTAATCAGGGGCACATGTACTATGCTAATTATTCTGGCTAATTTTGTTATAATGCAATTCTTTATCAACCCTGCTATGTATAAATTAGGAACTGAAATGTAACTAACACCAATTATATCTAAGGCAACATGAATTCTTTATTCCACTATGGAAACTTCTTACCTCTGTTTCTCTCTCTTTCTTCTTCTGATTAGCCTGTGTGGCCCCCCACTGCCCACCCTGCCCCCATCACATGAGGGGAGAGGAAGTCGGCACCAATGGTTCCCCTAGACTTGCTGCTTCGGTGGTTGTCCTTGGGGGACACAGAATGTATTGTTTAACAATTGATTAACAATTGATGGCAGAGAGAGTCTGCCTTTCTCTGAATCATGGAGCTCGCTTTCTTGTTCTGTTTCCATTTCTTCGACAATCCTGTGGGGACCCGAGCATCACGTATGGTGTAGTAATGTTTTGTGCGCTGCATGCATCAAGTTCGATGACACGTGTGCTCAGATAGGATGAGCCCAGTCTCCTGGAGCGCCTCACCTCACCAGAAGTGACATGGAGGGGGGGAGACTGAAGGTCAAGGTGGCCGCGCAAAGCCCATGAACTGGGGCCTTTTCTCTGTCGATGCTTCTGGTTTCAAAATAATTTTCAGCAAAACAACAAGGCCTGGTGAATAAATGGATACAGCCTGGGTCTAATTTAGTGTCACCACTGTGTTAGGGTTGAACGTCAGTGAGGGTCGGTCAGCAATGCGGGCCATGGTCTGGGTGAATGGTCCCGAATACTCAAACCCAGCTGTGTCTTTGGAGGCCCTGGGGGTGCAAATGGCACATCAGTGCTCGAGGCTCGTGGAAAGGTTGGCGGCTCGAGTCCAGGCAGAGGCCCCGCGGAAGGAAGGCCTGCTGATCTGCTTCTGAAGAATGAGCCGCCGAGAACCCCGTGGGGATGGTTCTGCTCTGACGCACGCGGGGTGCATCAGGGTCGTCTCCATGGCAACTTGTTTGTTCAGTCGGTTGTGACTTCAGGGTGAGGCAGGGTGCATATCCAACTTCATTCCAAGTGGTCGTGGCTCAGCTCCGGAAGTTGCATCCAGTTCTGAGACTTCCTTCCTCTGAGCCTGAAAGGCCCTGGCCGTTCCCTGGAAACCCAGAAAGCTGCTCCTTCAATGCCCTGGTTCCCCGTGTGCAGCCTTATCCCACCTCCACATCCAGCTGCCGCGACCTGCGGCTGGAGCGGAGCTCTGCCCTGGCCACCGAGCTTGCCGGCCTCGCTTGTCCTGCCCTCTTCCCTGCGGCCCCGCAGTCCTAGCTGCCTCCCCCAGCTCCCAGCTCCAGCAACACGAGGCTTCTCCCTGTGGTCAGAAGCGTTCAATTTGGCTGAAGGATTCCTGCAATTCCTTTTCAATGAGCTGCTCACAGCTTCTGCAGTCTGCTAGTTGCGGCCACGACGCCTGTGTGGATGTATTTACCATCCGTGGCAAGCTGGCTCTGCCCTCAGCCGAGGGGGTGTTGGAGGCATCATTATATGGTCTTTATGGGCAGCTCTTTGACTCTGTAGGGAGAGAAAGGGGGCATTTCCACTCCGTCTGCCTCTCGAAGTCTTGAAGCAACGTGATGGGAAGTGGGTACACGATGAAAGCCACACTCACCTCTGGCCAGCGTTTTCTCTGTTTAGGGGCATGGTTAGCGACGGCCCAAGGAGGAGGTGTGGGCCCAGGGAGGAGGTGTGGACCCAGGGAGGAGGTGTGGACCCAG